TAATAATAATAATAAAAAAAAATAAAAATTATTATTATTAAATTTTCCCTTTAAATTCTTACATTTTTCTTATTTTTTGTAATATTACAGTGAAATGTTACATTAGTAATATTTCTTGTATTATTAAGTAATAACAACAGTTGTTATTGATATATATAATCACAAAATAGTTGGCTAAATTGTGCAGCCCAACAAACAAGCACAGCAAACCTCGAAGTTGAATTTTTTTTTTAAATAAAATTTAAATCAATTTTAAATCAGAAAAATTGTAAAAAGACTGCTCTGCCACAACCCCTACATATCAGTTTGCTCAGGTGTGTGTGTCTTGTTCATACCCCTGTGGCAGCATCCAGCTTCTTCTGCTTCTCAAACGTTTCATCATCATCTTTGTTCTTCTCAAACTCTTTCTGACAACGATTCAGCAGCAGCTTCCTGAAATTTATCGTCACTCCAGGTTTCTCCGTGGTGGGAACTTTCAGCTGCGATGAGAGACAGATGATAAAACACAGACTAGACGCTGCAGGAGCTGCTTTTGTGATCACAGCGTTCGGCTCACACTCACCCCCATGAGGCAGCGGCACATGTTGGCATAGGCTTCAGAGAAGTTGGGCTCAGAGATGGCCTTCTCATAGATGAGGTGGACCACTCCTTTCAGGCGCTCCTCGGTGTTGATGGTCAGTTCCGTCACCTGCTTCATCAGCGGCTGGAACATCTGCGGCGTCAGTTGATTCAACACGCTCTCCATGCGTTTGAACAGCTCCTGCGTCTTCAAGAACTCGGGCTTGTCCTCGTCGGCACGGCCACTGCGCTTCACTGACGGTTTCCAGGCCTTCTCTGCTTTATTCCGCTGGACATCTTCAGTGAGGGAAACACTCGCCATGATCTTCTGCGGCTCCTTCCCGCGCTGACCTTGACCTGAACGACGAGGGCCACTCAGACCAGACGGCTAGTGAGACAGAGAAAGATATGCATTATACTTATATATATATATATATATATATATATATATATATATAT